CACACACACACACACACACACACACACACATACATATATATATATATATATATATATATATATATATATATTCAGTTTGACTTCTGTTATAACCTCGTAAAGGTTACTGAATAGAATAATCACACGAAGGTTGGTAATGAACGATAATACTTAGGACGAGAACAACACATATAAGATTCGCCAGCCAGAAGTGAGTCAACTTAATTCCGCAATGAATCTGCAACTGCAGGATATGTACCAACCGCCCCACGCGGTAAGATGTGGCACAAGGCCGAATTTATTGTGGGATATCCGAGCCCGTAGTCTCGGCCAAAATTTCCCGTAGACGCCGTATAAAAACTGGGTCGGGTAGCTGATAATCTGCCCTTCGACATAGCCTCGTCTGGGGATCCTCTCTGCCACCGGGCAGAGAGTTTGACCAGCAGAGTTGGAGACTTCAACTGCAGACCAACATATAGTATTTACTATTGTATTTATGTGAATGCGGACATACCCATTATCGTCCGTAAGTATGCTACAACAACATCGTTTTAAATATGACATTGGAATAATACATTCGACCGTATCTCAGTCTGGATAAGCTATGCCCTGGGCTGAGCAATAAGACCACAAAGTTAGAAACAAAAAAAATGATTTTTTAACCATCAAAATTTTAAAAAATTATTCAGTAATATATAGAAATTTTTTAAGCTCTCTTAAATTTGATAGAAATACCATTAGGTCTGTCACTGAATTAAAATATACATGCCCACACAGAAATGTTTATACATATAAGATATAGGAAGAAAATGTGTTACTACCGACAACGAGGTTAGAGCGTGACACTCTGAACTTATGAATATATTTTATTCGCTAGGTGTATACCTGGCGAATAAAATATAGTCATAGCGGTGTCAGGCTACTGACTGAAGTGACTATTGAGTGATTATTGAGTAGCTATTGAGTGGAACTATCCAGTCGAATTAGTGTGAATTATTGTGCGTCGATGATTTAGGTTTTGATTTAGAATTTACCGGACGTTAAGCGGAGCCTAGCCGCTCTACAAACAAGATATTCACTGAAATTGTTAATAAGATTTGGTTGATTTTTACTTCTTTGTTCTTGTTACATATTTATTTGCGGTTTAATTAAATACTTTTTTTATTTTAACATTGAAGTCTTGAGTCATACTTAATCGTTAATGGTCGTCGTTCGTTACAAAACATACACAAATTGATTATAGTAGAAATAGGCATCTTACTGAAAGGGACTAATTTCCCTTTCTCTCTTACAACAACCCCAGCGTAACAGCAAAAGAACAAAAGCTAAAATGTGTCTTACCCCTTTGAAGTAATTTTATGATTTCTTGTTTATTTTAACTGGATATATTTTCTGATAAATATAGTATTTTAAATGTTAACTCATCATCATCGTAGTTAGACGTGGCTGGTCGTTGCTAATACAAAATGGGACATTCTGCTCAATCTGACTCTTCAAGTACGTCCATTGAAACTAGTGTTTTTTATTTTGGAGAAAATAGTCGGTTTTGGGCGACCATGTCTCTTTCGATTCATGACTGAAAAGGCAAAGTATATTTTTCAAGCCGAGCTTCTCGACTTGACGGTCGAATATTTCTGCCTCTGAGCATTAAAAGGAACCCGGACGACTCCGCCGCCGGGCAGAGTCTCGTTCGGGGAGAATGACCAACCCGATCTCGTTTATACGGGTTATACGGGCATGTTTTTGGCCGAGCCTACGGGCTCAAAGAAAAATTAAATTAAAATCTCGGCCTTGTGCCACATGCAACCCTCGTGGGTGTGTGTGGGGGGCTAGATACCGAATATTTTTCGTGCAGTAGTACTTTTTAACAGTAAGCATCACCCTGTATAAGTTACGGGCCAACTTAAAGTAAAGGTTTACCTTAAGGGGTAATTTATATGGATAGAAGGGGAAGATAACGGTTCACTTGAGCAGGTTAAGATTGTAATGATCAGGGAAACGTCCTTTATGGAGTCTGTTCCACAGAGCAATGGTTCACGGAAAGCAGCTGTTCGAGTTTATTGCCCAGCGCCTGACGCGTCCTCAAAAAAGAGAACTACCGAGAGGGCTTGGAGCAATTTTCCCATGGTATTAGCGTTAAAACCACTTTAGACTGTCCCTTTGTCAGATTCGGTAGCGACGGGAGCGCACTGTAAAATACACTTGTTAATTGTAATGCGAATACACTAACTACGTAAGAAGAGCTATGTATCATTTGTTGTTGACAAGATTACCTCTGAATGTCGACAGCCGAAGATTCGACCTTTCCAATAAAGATAAACAAATTCTAAGATCTTTTCTTCAAAGCCTGGATAATTGAAGACTTCCTCAGCCGTAATTGAGTAACTGAAAGTGACAAAGAATGGCAAATTAATTATCATTCGAAGGAGTGTTTGGCTTTGCGAAAACAGAGACATTTATAATAGTTTGTGGAAACTGGGATAAAGAAAATGATCCTGATCCCACTAAAAGAAATACGAGAATGTCAACGAGTAATTCTGGAAACGTCAACAATTCGGAAAAGCGCCGATTCATCTTTCGCCAAGGACAAGGAGGTCAGGAAAAGGATTTAATGCTATCTAGTTATCTCGAATCAACCAGTAAAATCAATTGGTGTAGTATTAATTTCAAACAATATGTACACAGGGTTAAATAGCAAGAAAATAAAGGTAGGGTTTATACTCATTTCTAAAACAGGATCGGCCGATCTACTTTGACAATCCGTATTCGAACTTGAACGTAAACACGGACACCAACATCAAGTAACTGTGGGAAATAAGTCTATATATATCTATCTATCTATCTATCTATCTATCTATCTATGTGTCTGTCTATCTGTCTGTCTGTCTGTCTGTCTGTTGTAACCTAGGAAAGGTTATTCAATGAGGAATAACAAAATCGGAGGTAGGAAATGAAATGGTAATCTTTATAACATCAACAAAATACAATACTCGCCAGCGGCGTGAAAAAGGTAAACCACTGCTATTGATGGACTACATAGACAGCATATTATCCCTACTTACAATAGTGTTCAACGTATTTATGAGGATTGGGACATACCCATTAGTGCTCATAGGTACCGTATCTATCTATCTATCTATCTATTGTAATATGCATCTATCTAAATCTGTTCCTTATCTCTCTCTCTCTCTCTCTCAATCTCTCTCTCTCTCTCACTCTCTTTATCTATCTCGTGACATTTGCACCTATCACGATCTATTCATTATCTATCTATTTATCTATCTATAGCATTTTGCATCTATCTCAATCCGTACATTATCTATTCATTGCTATTTGCATATATCTGAATCTGTTCATTGACTATCTATTTATCGCAATTTGTGTTTGTCTAAATTTGTTCATTATCAATTTATCATTCTTTATATCTATCTATTGCAATTAACATTTATCTAAATATGTTCATTATATATATATATATATATATATATATATATATATATGAAAAATATATAGAAAATAGGAAAGAACTCGTTAGGTAAATAATATATTGAAGTTTTCGGCTCTTGTTTTGAAACATGAGAACTCTTATGTAGCGAATTTATTTGGAATCATATTTTAAATAAATAATATATAATTATATATATATATATATATATAATATATTTGTGTGTGTGTGTGTGTGCGTGTGTGTGTGTGTTGTAATTTCCATCTATCTCAATCTATACATTATCTGTTTATTGCTATTTGCATCTGTCTAAATCTGTTCATTGTCTACATATTTATCCATCCATCCCATTCTGTTAACATCTCTCTTAATAAGAGTTTTTTCTTTTTACTTTCTTATTTTATCTATCTATCTATCTATTGCAATTTGCATCTATGCCAATGTGTTCATTGTCTATATATCTAACCATCCACCCTATTGTGTTAACACCTCACTTCATCACTGTTTTTTGTTACTTTCTTATTCTATCTATCTATCTATCTATCTATCTATCTATCTATCTATCTATCTTGTATGTATTATAAATTTCATCTATCTCGCTTTGTTCATTATCTATCTATTTATTGTAATTTGCATATATCGCAAACTTTTCATTATTTGCCTATCTATGGAAATTACTTAATACCAATAATGGATGGACTGAAAGTGAATATACGTCACATAGCGTTATAGGAGATCCATCAATGAAATAATGCTATGCGGACACTGAGAAAAATATGTAAATATGTAAATATGTAAATATTATAGTTAAGGTGTCGTGAATGACCAGCATGTATTGGTTTGTAAAGTTATCTCATGGATAAGTGTCTTTGAACTATCTATCTGTTGCAATCTGCACGTAGCTCAATCGGTTCATTATCTATCTCTCTCTCTCTCTCTATCTCTCTCTTTCTCTTTCTATCTCTCTCTCTCTCTCTCTCTATACATATATATATATATATATATATATATATATATATATATATCCTGAAAACCTCCCAATCTGAGGATTTGCTGCCGGATGTAGAAACGTGAAACAGTTCAAGATACACTACAAAGATAGTAAAACTTGACGTGGAAGTGAATCAAAAGCGATGGTAGAAGAAATTTGGTAACTTGGTAAAATCTGCTAGAAGCCTAAGCACCGAAGACTATATTAATTTAATACGTTTTCATCTTCTGCCAGATTACGAAGAAGGGGACATTTTTCAGTTCCTTGTCACACATCCCGTACAACAAAAATGGTACTTCTGGATGACTTTTGAAAGACTAGCTCGTCCTTATCTCAATATATATATATATATATATATAAATTAGGAGATAAGTCGATCGCGCTACCTTCGTTTTAACCTTTCAACAAATCTTTAATGTCCCTTTAAAAGAATGCGTTCCGTGATTTTCAAATATATATATATATATATATATATATATATAATTGTGTAAAAACTGCCCAGATATTCTGTATTTCCGACCGCTTTCGGCAATACTTTTACTCATTATCAAGGATGATTGTATTTATACTCTTTAACTCTTGTATGTGTTGTTTGTATGTATCTAGAGTTATAGGGATGTTTTATTTTACAAACACGGTCAGCACATTGTGGCCGTGTTTGTAGTTAATATTACTGAGTGTTGGCTTTTTCTTTTTTTATTATTAGGTCTGTTAGGGGACCTTACCCATAATAACATAATAGACTATTCCATACCTAATAAATACTGCGCCTCAAGAGATATCAGGGAGTTCAGTCCGAAGTCGGGCGACTGGCTGACCGGCTGATCGGTTGAACTCTCTGCCTTCGGGCGGGGAGGAACCCGAACGAGGCTACGCCGAAGGGCGGAGTCCCTTTCGGGGAGGTAAACCGACCCTGAACCCGTTTATACGGGTTCAAAGGGCATATTTTTGGCCGAGCCCACGGGCTCGGAGATCCCAGGTTAAACCGGCCTTGTGCTACATGATGCCCTCGTGTGGGGGGTGACTAAATACCGTTCAGTCTGAAGTTGGGCGACCGGCTGACCAGCTGATCGGTTGAACTCTCTGCCTTCGGGCGGGGCGGAACCCGAACGAGGCTACGCCGAAGGGCGGAGTCTCTTTCGGGGAGGTAAACCGACCCTAAACCTGTTTATGGGGGGGGGGTGACTAAATACCGTTCAGTCTGAAGTCTGGAGTGAAGTCCGTCAGGAATCTGTCAGTCAGTCAGAGCGAGTCAGAGACAGTCCGAAACAGAGTCGCGTTCAGACAATTACTGCAAAACATTGGAATAGTGAGACTGGTCGAGACTACATTGTTCTCCCTACTAAACCTGATTGTTCGTACTAACACTTTATACTTCTCTGTATATATTCCTGTTTGTAATATGTCTGTGTTATTCCATATCTGTGTTCAAGTTCTTCTTTATTGGTTCTACCTTGGACTATCACCGTGGTGCAAGGAACTGGACCATAACAAGGTCCTCCATTAATCTTTTTTTTTACATGTGGATGAGGTTATTATGCTTGTATTTTCTACTAGTATGCTTCGGATGGAGTCTGTCAGGTTTGTGTGTGTGTTTAAATGAGTTCCAATGGAGCTATAAGCAAATAGTTCTAATGCAATCATCTGGTTAGGCATATGGGAGTGAAACCGATGTGATTGATTGTAAAAATTAATCCATTTGAGAGTGATTTTTTTGTGAATGCGCATGAAATGCACTCTGTTCTAATTATGCAAACATATGAACGCGCTCCGTCATAGTCATTTTAAAAAATTAGCAGTTAAGAATAATATGCATGTAAGGGGGGTAACTTAATTTACATTTTTTTTGTTAATGTTTAAATATACTACACCTGCAATTTACAAAAATATTAACAGCTATCAATTACATTATTTTTTTTTGTTTTAGCAATTCACCCCTAAAGATGATCTTGGATGAGATTGAAAGTACTTGGGAAAATAAAAGAAATGAAAATAAATACGGTTTCTTCCTTAATCAGTTTAATAACAACATTAAGAAATTGATCTGTGAATTTGTGAAGATTAAAATAAAAATAAATAAACATAATATGTCCATATTATTTATCAAAACATGCTTGAATGAAGATATGCCTAAACAAACACACACACACACACACACACACACACACACACACACAAACACAAACACACACACACACACACACACACATATATATATATATATATTATAGCAAAAAGAAAGAATAGTAAGATATATAATCCGGTGTTCTTATTGATATTTTACAAAACAGTGCTCAATGTCAATTTACAGAGCATAAATATTACAAATTAACTGCGTTGGTTATAGATAACATTGTACCTTATTAACATTTGTATATATATATATATATATATATATATATATATATATATATATATATGTGTGTGTGTGTGTGTGTGTGTGTGTGTGTGTGTGTGTGTGTGTGTATCTGATTTTTTACTTTTGCTCCATTCAATGTCACGTCGAACTGAGGCAACTGATCGAGCCAGGACGGCAACGAAAACCATGCAATCTCCGTGAGATTTGGGATTACGTGAGATTAAGAATAGACCCTGTTTCATTCAATCAAATTGAAGCAATTATTTGCACCAAAGGCAGTAACACGAATTGCTCACTCCATAATTTGACGCTTTGTACGTTTTGGTAATTATAATGATCACTTTTTGTAAAAACAAAATTCCTTTATGACTTAAGAGCTGAAAGGTGACATTTTCTCTGGAGGTCCAGTATTTTTTTGCATGGCCTTTTTTCAATATTACTATGATTAAGATCTGTCATCCCCCATACACCTTTAACAAAAATGTAGTACTTTTTTGTCTGACCCTCAAAGACCATAAAATGTACAGAGAAAAACATACTACTAATCACTCTGGATTTGAGCGTAAAATTAACTAAAGTAATGTATTTTGCACGTCAGCTTCTACCTCCTCTCTCTCTCTCTCTCTCTCTCTCTATATATATATATATATATATATATATATAGCATTACTCTTCAAGTAAATTGAATTGAGTTCTCCGAGCCGCTGGTGTATTTCGTATAGAGAAAAACGTTAAAATTCCTTTCTTTTCTTTTTTCAATAATAAAGATCATATTTTTGTAAAAACAAAATTCTGCGACGATGGCCTAAAGGTAAGATATCTGACTGATATCAAATCAGTCGTGTTTAGATCCCGGTTTGTAGCAATCAGACGACTAGCCACACTGAGGATACAGTGAAATAGTCTCTCTGTGGATGACTATATATATGCTCCCGGAAATCCGGTTGATTGAGCTCTCTAGGCAAAGGCTGTTTAAAAAAAAACAGCGGTTCATACTGCTGTTAAGCATTACTCTTCAACTAAATTGAATTGAGTTCTCTTTGAGGAGCTGGGGATGACTATATATATATATATATATATATATATATAGTCATCTATATATAGATACTATATATATATATAGTCATCCATATATATATATACTTAACGTAAGTAAATGGTTTGTAATTTAGCTGATTGATGTTACCTTCGACATTCTGACTCCAGAGTTTTGTAGACGAACCTATCCGTCCACAGGGATTATCAGCAATTGACTGATTATATTCTCATTTTTTCCTTTTTATATGTACTTGTCATTACGGCAAGTTTGTTTGTTTTTTTCATAGTGTATGTGTGCGTGTGTGTGTTCCCATGCAAGCACTCACCAACCACAGCAACTTGGATATAACGAGCTTCTCAAAAGTGACTAGATTAGAATAGCGACAACCTAAAATGCATCGTTTGATCTTCCGCCAAGAGTAACGGTATCAGGATTAGTCTTTAATCTTATGCCATCTGGCTGACATGCAGCGAACAAGCTAGCTAGGTTTATCTTGTGCATTTCTACATGTTCTAACCTAAAAAAAAGGTTACTGAATGAGGAATAACCAAAACGGAGCTTGGAAATTAACTGGTCATCTTTATAATATCAATAAAATACAAGACTTGCCAGCGGCGTGAAGTAGGTAAACCACTGCTAGTGGTGAACTACTTATACAGCATATTACCCACACTGACAATGGTATCAAACTTATTTATGGGGATTGGGAAATGCCCATTAATGTTCATAGGTACGTTATTTAACACTATCATGAATATGTTCTCTGTTAGTGTAAATGTGTTCGGTGCAGATGGACGCAGTGAGCCGAGTTCGAATTTCAGTTTAATCTGCTGTTTTTATTTTTCACTATTACCATTGGGAAAGGCATGAATTCATTATTCTTATGGTTTAACTAGCAGAGTAGACCGAACTCCTTAACCTTGATTGCCAGCCATCTAAGTGAAGGACGATTCTGAATTCAAAAATGTGAAGAAGGCCACAGGTAACCATTATGCTATTTTTCTCCAAAAGTCATGGCAGTTCGCAGCTAATAAAGAAAAAGATCCTGTGGAGAGCAGTTCCGGAATGGCTGGGGTGTCAGGTTGCCCGATAGCAAGGGGTTCCCCTATATCAAATAAAAATGCAATACAGAAACAAACACAGGCAGCTGTTTTAGTAATAACAAAAGTAATAAGATCTTTATAAAGTCATCTGCATACTAGCAGTTACTCACGTCCAATTTAAGAGGACATTTTCAAAACTAAAGCTCATAAAGTCAAAGTTAAGAAATTCGCTATATGAGGAGAATTTAGTTGTTGCTAAGGAATTGCAAGCGGAAGCAATTATTGTCAGATCTGTGAACACAAGTGATTGTTCTTAATATATTGAATTGCCTGCAGTGCTTTATTGTACTTTTGAAATATATATTAATGTGCCAATTGGGCAGTAAACTGTTTTAAAATATCAACCAATTACTTTAAATTAAAAATTCTATTATAACATTTTGTATTTACATTTGACATCTACTGCCAGTAATATGTACATGCACACTGTGCCACTGCGCTTAGGGTAAAAAGACAATATTCACATCCTTCATATCTGATGGGACTTGCTCCTTTTCCCAGATCCGTAAGAGAAGGAGGAAGATTCTTGCATTGAGAGGGTAATCCGCCGTTTTATTTGTTCCAGGGAGATGTTATCAAGTCCCGGGGCTCTAAAGGATCAGATGGACTTGAGCGCAGCTTTGAAATCATGATAGATAGGGTTGGCAGACATCCATTGTTGTACCGAGTGCTTTGGTACACGTCTGAGGAGGTCTGACGCAGTAGTAGAGTCATGACTGAGAAGGGTAGAGAAACGTTCCTGCCGTCTCGCTAGAATGTCTTGAGTCTTGCTGAGTTTGGTGATGTTGTTAGCCTCTTTCAAGATGGATGTAGGCTTCCTGACGGGACCGAAAACCTCCTTAATTTCTGAGTATTGTCTCATGTTTAAGCTGCCGGCGTATTGTTGCAGTTCTTCGGCCTTTTTTCTCTATCAGTGGACTTGGATGCTGCGGATCTCCCTTTTGTAGTGAGCCTTGAGATGTGCAGTAGACGATTAAAACAAAACAAAAACAATATTACTTAAAATTAAAAATAAATAAATCAATTATAACATTCTATATTTATATTTGACATCTACTGCAAGTAATATGTACAATATATGTACAGAAGCCACATTTATGCTTTGCTTATGAATTTCAGCTTAAAAAATTGAGTGCGCTTTATATGTATGGCAAAAGAATACTAGTTAAATAATTACTATCAATATGACTTGAAATAAACAAACAACAATATATACACGTACATCTTTTTTACAGTGCAACCGAATCAATTGCATTAATATAGAAGAAACAGGATACGTCTACATGTGAGAATGTCTGTGACACGAATGTACGTTGTTTTATGCATGCGTATAAATTGTAGCAGTTGAGACCATAAATAAGCAGTGATCTTTAGTGATAAACACGGGGGCAAAACCATTGAGTTTTTAAAGAGTTATCTGAACTTTGTTTTTATTTGCAAATCTCAAGTTTGAAACTGCGCCTGCATCATTGTTATCTGTGCACGACTAATGTTGTCTTTTTTCTAGTCCTATTCGTAATAGTACATAGGATACGTATAGTGGTGTAATTGATATCAGCTCTGAATGTGAAATATGAGAGCTATGTTCGAATTCCAGTCAGGTTCGTTACATTCACTTGCGCGCAAATACCCTTGGGAAATGCATGAATCCATCTCTTCTTCTCCCCAATCTATGGAGTAAATAGCAGGACAAACTGGGTCCTATAGCCTTAGTTGACAACCAGTCTACCGCAGGAAGAAACGGCAACCTACTGCGGGGAAAAATCTTTGGCCTAGTCAATCAGGAATCGAAAGAGACTTGATCGCCCAAGCGTTTATCACGTATGGCAGCGGTCCTCAACCTTTATTTCCCCACGCAAGATCATTTTTTCATGAATGGGGGCAGGAGGTCTGTATCGGTCACGCGCATAACAAAACACCATAAACAAAGCCACGATAGTCAATAGAATAGTAAGAAATGCGTTTATTTTTCTGTGTAGCCCAGTACCGCTGGAGACCGCTGACGTATGGTACTTAACAGAGTGAATAGTACACAGTCATCCGTGTCGTAAGCACATTTTCAAACTTGACATTTTTAAATAAAAACAAAAAATCACTAATCTTGTTTTCTGCAAGCAGGCTAGTCAGTTTTAGTAGTACCGGATATTTCTCTGGCACACGGCAGCATTTTTGGGACACTTGTGAATAGCGAAGTCAAGAAACTAACGAAATGACATTGTTCTCACATTAAACGATAATCGGTGGGGTCCTAAATAAAATCACGGGGAACTTACCTACTGTTAACACCGGTGAATTTAACGCTATTTTAATCGCCATAGAATAAAAAAAACGTTCTGGCAATTACTGACAACGACATGAATAATAAACAATAGCAGATTATATAAAACCACTAGCGACTGTTTATTCTGCAGTCGAAAAAGTCAGGGGCGAAGACAGGCGATGCAGGTTTGTGAAGCTCGATTCTAAATCACTAGTTAGTATTCAACTTTGAAAGCAATACAGGATCATTTATAGCTTGGCTCAGTTGAAGTATGGCGTCACTGTGTTGATCATAAAACCAGCGCTGATATTTTGCCGCTTAGGGAGAAAGGAAAGAGGAGGAGGAAAGGAAAGGGAAGGAGGAAAGGAAAGAGAAGGAGGAAAGGAAAGGAAAGGAAAGGAAGAAAGGAAAGAGAAAAAAAGACGGAAGGATGGATGGAAAGGGAAGGAAGAAAGGGAAGAGAAGGAAAACAGGAAGGATGAAAGGAAAGCGAAAGAAGGAAAGGAAGCGAAGAAAGAGAAGCGAAGGAGGAAAGGAAGGGTGAAAGGAAAAGGAAGGAAGGAAGGAAAAGGAAGGAAGGAAGGAAGGAAGGAAGGAAGGAAGGAAGGAAGGAAGGAAGGAAGGAAAGGGTAGAAAAAAGGAAAGGAAAGGGAAGGAAGAAAGGAAAGAGAAGGAAGGGAGGAAAAGGAAAGGGAAGGAAGAAAGAAAGTAAGGAAGGAAGGAAAGAAGGAAGGAATGAGAAAGAAAGAAAGAAAGAAAGAAAGAAAGAAAGAAAGAAAGAAAGAAAGGTCGAGAAACACAGAAACTGAAGGCTGGAAGAACCTATACAAGATTCGAAAATGAAAGAAAAACGTACTTTCCTTCTTTGTTTTCTAAATTGATAACACCGACGAAAGAAAACGTAGAATTCAGTGGGAGAAGTAAAGAGAGAGAAAGAGAGAGAGAGAGAGAGAGAATGAAGAAAGAAAAAAAAGAAGACTGAATTAAAAGAGTATAAATACGAACACCAAACAGAAAATATTCAACTTTGACTTGCTCTCTAATGGCATTGTCTAGCTTTTACGATCGAAACTGATCTATGACAACCAGATTGAAAAGTTGTCACCTTAACTGTAATGTCCACCGGTCAGGTAACATACTGATGGGTGGATTGAAAGGAGGTAGCATTTGAATAAAACAGAGATTATTACTTCTTTTTTTGTCAGATTTTTACCAAGACTTTTTCTTTGTTTGAATTCGCATCCCATAAATTGTAAGTACATTGCGTAACTGACTACATCAATAGAGTTGCCATGGAACTATTATTTCTGTATTTTCAAGTAAATGCTTCCTTGCTTATTTTCTTTTTAAATTGTCGACAATAAATATTGATAAAGTTGTTGTTTACGTAACCTGAATAAAATTTATTAATCACGTGAAAACCTTTATTCACGCTAATGTAACCTCTCGCATTTTGATGGCAGATAAAAACAAAATGGTTGAAAAATAAATATTTCAGATCTTATATGCAAAGTAGATGTATTTCGAATGTTAATATTAGACGTCATAGTCGACCAGTACTAGGGCCAAGCCTAACCACATAATACAAAACCCAAGAACCACTCAGAGTAGAGGATTACTGAATAATGTTGTTGTTATGGGAACTTACCCATAATAATAATGGACTATTCCTGATATTATAAATATTGCGCCTCTCAAGAGGTTGTAAGACGAGAAGAGATAATTGAGAGCATATTGTAAGGACATTGGAATAGTAATACTTGTCGAGACAACATAGTTCACTCTAACCAAATCTGATAGTTATTACTAATACTTCTACTTCTTTGTATTATATTTCTGTTGTAATATATCTTTGTATTCCATACGTGTGTTATTGTTATTCTTTTATTTGGTTCTAACCTTGGACCATCACCATGGTACAAGGAACTTGGACCATAGCAGTTGTTTATGAGCGTAACATAAGAAACTATGATGGTCAATGCTCGACTTGAAGAGGCTAAGATTATAGAAATCGGGAAGTCGTCCTCCTGGTAGTTCCCTCCACGAAGTAACGGTTCTGTTCGAGTAGAACTTCCTTTGTACCTTACCTAAGACTCGCGTTCAAATCCCACAAATTTTTGACAATATCTTATAGGAGGCACGGTGGAGTAATCCAGTCGAATCTATTATTGTGGGTAAATAGCAGGACAGACCGGGTTCTATATTTAAATATCTGTAATTATTTATCAAGTTACAAGTCTGAAAATAATAAAAAATAATAAGAGCTGGGCATGTATTGCACAGTCGGAACTAATGTCTGCTTGTACTTAAAATATAAACGATACACGTTCAACTTTTGTTCGAATTACAACAGCTATACCGCTATCAATTGAAGAGACAATGTAATTTTGTATCGTACCTGAAACACCTGAAAATGCTTAGATCTTTCTTTAATAGAAAGTCTTGCTGCAAAGACGCTATCTGTTTCGGTAAAGGAATCCAATAAATCGCGATAATTGCCTTTGTTAAGCCAATCTTTTTCTTCATGTGAACGCAACGGCAGTTCGTGTTTGCAATGATATAATACAGCGGGTACTAATTGTTTTAAATATTGTCTATTTTCTTCAGCTAATTTTTTATGCTGTTCTCTTTCTAACTATTCAGTCTCACTAATTACTCGCGGTTACTATGCCACATGCAGCAATATTTTGAATATTGCTGTTACATCTAGTTTGCTGCTTCTCTTTGCTTTTACTAAAAATTATTTATCCCGAAGCAAAACTATAAAGCCACTAAGACACAAAGGGTTCCTGAGAGTGAAAGAATATTAGAAGAAAAAAAACATTATTAAAGAGCAAGAACGATAAAAGAACAAGAATTAAGAAAACAAATGATAAAATGTTAGCATTGAACATGCGGTTAAAGATAGCCTTTTCAAACTTAAGAGGACGAGACCTAGCTGCCATTCTAGTACTGCACTTGAATTCGTATAGTCGAACTACTATATCTGAACAATTATAATGAAAATATTTACAGGGACATGCATGTTAAGGCGGCGAGAAAGAGGCTGAAACCGAGATGCCACGCCAGAACCCATAACATTGCAGTTTCTTCTTCAGGTCTTATCAAGAATCTCTAAATATATATAGCAGAGAAGTGGAAAGATAACAGTCTATCAATTGCTAGGTTTGCTTCTAGAAAAGTTGTTTCACTGTGTCGCGCTAGACAGCTTTCCTCGTCAGAATCTATCTTATAGCATTTATAAGTCTACCATTTCTCCAGGCTTTGAATATTAATGTCATATATGGTCTGGTGCTCCTGTTATATATTTTGAGATCCTTGATAAAATCGAAAGAAGAATCTCCAATATTATTGGTCTTGACATGGCACCTCGGCTTTAGTCACTTTCCTACCGCAGTAACGTACATTCCTTGTGCCTTTTCTAGGAATTTTTTCATGCTAATTGTTCTGATGTACTTTCCTCTGTGGTACCTAGATTCTATGAATTTAGGCGCAGTACTAGAATGGCAGTGTGTATATGTAACCGTAAGTTCTATGTTAATAGTTTCCTTTCTCGCACTCCGCGTTTGTGGAACTTTCTTCAGGCTTCTTGCCTTCCAGCCAATTTTGATCTACAAATATTTAAATGCAATGTCAATCGTTATCTTCTGTCTTCTTAATTCTTATTCATTTATTGTCCTCTATATTTAATAGTACTTTTTCTCATATTCTCTAATACTAAGTAACCTCTTGCATCCTAGTGGCTTTAATGCCTTTGATCTTCAATACTTTAAATGCAATGTCAATCGTTATCTTTTGTCTTTCATTGTTCTCTCCCTCTCTCTCTCTTTCACTCTCTCTCCCTCTCTCTCTCTCTTTCACTCTCTCTCTCCCTCTCTCTCTCTTTCACTCTCTCTCTCCCTCTCTCTCTCTCCCTCTCTCTCTCCCTCTCTCTCTCCCTCTCTCTCTCCCCCTCTCTCTTTCCTTGATGTTTTTATAATTCTTTCAAACTCAGTAACCCCTTGCTTCTTTGCGAATTTATGAAATGATTAAAAAATATCTTTAAACATTTTTAATTATTTAAATCGTTCAGAGATTTAGAATGATACCTGCAGTCTGTGTTTATAATTATTGGTTTTCGCCAGAAAATTCATTTGGTTATAAACAAACGAAATTTCTGTTTGGTTTCTTAAGTTAATTTCCGACTTACGTAATAAACCGAACGGAATTTTTAGCGAAACCATTACTTCAATCGCCGTCTGTTCACGATTGACATAATCTAGGTCGACAAATCAAGCAAATAACAATGAAGAATTTCTTCTGTTGCGCTTGTGTTTAGTCAGTCAACTCGTTCAGACCATTCCGGTTTGAAACGAAAAGCGTGCCTGTTTCCCGCCTTTTCTCTGTCCAAATGATTTTTTTTCTTTTTGATCTAACACATTTATTTCGTCAAGTCTCGCCTTTTGATATCGAGCCGACTTGTTAATAAGAACGCACGAACATTTTAAAATATTAACTTTATTTTAATAATATATCACAGCGTCCCTAAGGTTCAGCAAAAGGTCCCCATGGGTTCCACGAGAACAGGTGTTACCTGATTTACCTTATGTCTTTTCAACATTGTCAATAAAGGATAAAAAAAAAAACTTATGCAACAATTATCCGTTTTCCTTCTGTTTACATTTATATTATAGGTATGTGATATGGGTTGTTGATGTTTATTTTTTGCGTTTGAGTTTAGAATTTTTTTATTAAGTATTATAAATGAACAGTATGAATTTCATTTAGCATTACCGAAAAATTTGACAAAGAAGTATTAATTACTCCGTAAACCAGTTATTCAAAAATATATACTATGATATTCACCACGTGAACTAGGATGAAAATAAAACGAGAAAGATATGGTGTATAATAATATAGTGTAACCCGGATATAAGAGACCCGGAGATTTTCTCTGGTCCCAAATTAGAGCCTGTGTTAATGTATATAAAATAGACCAAACCCGGATATAAGAGAAACCCGGATATAAGAGACTTCTTCTCCAGTTCCGACAACTCTCTTATATCCGGGTTACACTGTAATATAAATATATATAAAATATAATATAATATATATATATATGTGTGTGTGTGTGTGTGTGTGTGTGTGTGTGTGTGTATGACAAAGTGGAGGGGTTCCTTGAGACATGTAATTTATTTTAAGGGTTACGCAAAGGTAAAAAGGTTGAGAAACACTGATTTATGTCATTAGTGGAAAGAATCATACAAGTATCTGGGATATTTTTCATTCCTTAAATAAAGGCGACATATAGACAACTTTGAAATAACATATGATGATTACTACCGGTGGATACAACTAATTGAATTGAATGTGTTACGGCGGACTGCCAGTATGTTTATTAAAGTGTTGTTATGTAGTAAATGAGCCGGTGGCTCAACGTAACAATTCCAACTTGATAAATTACCTGTCTGATCAGAAGAGGAAATAATTCAGAGGAAGAAAATGCATTGAAATTACGCTGATCTCTCATTTCCCTACGGTTAACCTCAGACCGAGCTCATGCACAATATCAACGATCATCTTAAAAGCAATGGGGTATACGAATTAATGGAGAAGAGACAAAAAGGGATCAACTCGGAATGAGTTTGGATTGCTTACCATCTTGTACTTGACTGGCCGTATAAGAGTTCCTATTTTCACAAACTACAGCTACCGATCGCCTGATGATTACGTGAAGTGCATGAAACTGGCAATCATGGTTGGTCACTGCCAATTTGAAATTCGACTCATTCAACGATATATTAAAGCTCTGCCATTGAGCACTCTTTTTTTCCTGTGTGCAATCTTAGGCAGACTCATTTGGGAGCTGCTAATTCTTGTTTCTAATTTCATATATATATGACATGAAAACACTCCAACGAGTGTATATATATATATATATATATAGATAGATAGATAGATAGATAGATAGATAGATAGATAGATAGATATTTCATAATAATTCATCTTGCCTAGACCTAGAAACCTCAATAGAATGCAGAAAATTTCTGTGGCTCATCAGCAGTGCCCATCCGCTACAACGCAAGCATCATACCATTTGACTAGCGGACCTCGGTAACGGAGTGGAAACCAACCAACACTGCACAATATAGCGCAGCTAATCCTATTTCCGGTGGTGATACTTATCC